CCCCCCACCTTGCGATGCCTCTGCAGGATGGAGCTCCCCCCACCCCTTGCCCACCCAATCAACCCTCCGGGAATTATCCAATCCAGCCGACTACAATTATTTGTACCATTCTTACCAAGATATTGTTCGCTTAGATTTTGTTGAATGAAGATGATGATACTGCCAACTCACCTATCAATTAGAAAACATCCGGTAATGCACAGTCCCTGCGATTACAACTGCGATATAATCTGATGATAATGATGATGATGATGGTAGTGATGATAGCAATAAAGATGGTATTATCGATAATGATGATGATGATGATGACGAGATGATGATAATGCTGATGATATTCCTGATGTGACAAGATTGTGACGATCGTGTAAAATGATGACGCGCCAGCACCCACTAATAACTACAAACAGATGATAATCTACTGACGAACACCTAGAAATAATATCGATGAAATGATAACGATGATGATAAGGATGATGATGGCAAGGATGATAACAAGGATGATGACGATGGTATTAGCGCCGAAATTCATACGCCTTGGTGGTGATGACAAGTAGCTGATGACGGTAGTAACGAGCAGCGCCCTGATGAACGTCCTGAAATGCTGATGACGCGCCCTGCTGACGATGACGACCTGCTAACAAAACGCACCCGGTTGGATGGTAGTGACGAGCCACTCAGCGAGAGTACCGCCAATGACAGAGATGTGTACAAAAATCGAAATCACGCGCTCGATGTCGCCTCCGATCCTCCTCCCGCTCCACGCAAGCACACGCCACTCCAGGCTAGCCCGGAACCGAATGTTTCCTCGGAGCCACCTTAGGCACCGTCTCACCTATGCCAACTCTAGACCAGCCAGAGTACCTATCGGGATTATTCCATGGTTGGATTATACGGTCCAGTATGGTCCGGAACGGAATGTTTCCACGGAGCCAATGTAGGCAGTGTCAGACTGTCAGTACCTAAGCCAACTCTAGACTAGCCTGTGTGTCACTCCAAACTAGTCCGGAACCGAATGTTTCCTTAGTTGGA